CGAGGGAAATGGGGCTTCGGTGGGATTCCGCAGGTGAGGGGCGGCAGCCAAGGTGGTTCTCACGGCGGCAGTTGCATGGCGTGGCGGCGGCCCTAGCAGCGGTGGTGTGCGGCCGAAGATAAGCGGCGGGCCGCGGAGCTCAGACTTGGCGTGGGTAGGTGGTTCGAGGGCGCGGGGAGCACGAGAGATTGGGGAAAAAGAGAGAGATGGCTCTGTGAAGGATTTTATAGGCTTGGGAGGCGAGCTCGTGGCTAGGAAGGGCGGCAACGGCCGGCGGAGTGGGGCTCCGACGATGTGGGGAGGTGGGCTCCGATTTTGCGTGAAATGGGAGAAAACGGGTGCAGGGAGTGGGGCGAAAAGCTGCAGCGGTTGCGGGCGACATGGGGGAGTGTGCGGGCGACGTGGGCACGGCGTGGGTGTTAACAGTGAAATTTGGTAAGCCCCGAAGTCATCATCGGTCTAGAGTGAGTATCAGCTTCAGAATCCAGGAATTGATCGATGGGAATTATCAAGTTACCAATAGTCAGATTCTTGCTATATTCGGTTAATGAAATTAATCCATTAAAGGAAATTTATCCAAAAGAGACCGAGTTCAAGGAGAATGCGGCATGACAGTTTATCTATTTATTAGGAAGAATTTGTTAGTTTCATTTTAACTTTAGAAAAGTGTGTTTAGTGTCCGATAAGGACTTTATATTTTACTTTTATCTTTAGGAAAGTTTCTTTCTTGTTCAAGAAGGATTAATAAACTATCTCCGCAGTCAATACAAATTCGGTGCATCGCCACCTTTTTTACCTTTCTACTTTTTCGACGAGTTTATACTTGTCGTGGATGTTTGCATCAGCAGGGCTAGGGCTTCCACACTCTGATATTGTCAATGTAAGCACATATCTATCACATATCTTAGTTAATCTAGTTTGGTAGTTCAATTTATTTGTATCGGCTAAAATTCGTTTTAGAGTTTATGCCGGTATGGGCTAAATTGCTTTACCATATTAGATTAGCTAAGGTATCTACCACCCTAAAAATCAGTCTAGGGCTTGATTGTGTAGATATTATGTTCCTTTCATACTTTACGCTGCATCAGCCCTAGTCGTGCTTAGAACCATAACCTCTAGCCTGCTTTTTGATTGGCAATAAGGGTTTCATCGGGGTTTCAACCGATGAGTTATCTAGACGTTGCATATAAGGATTACATACAAGTTGGATTTAGCCGATTGCAACAAAGGTTTCACTGTTTATCTAATCGTTTGGGTTTAATGACATCGGACTTCCAGCCGATATATGTTTTAACCTTCGGATCAGTGCTTATTCTATCATATGTTAGCCAATTGGTTTCGACTGAATTATATTGTTGTTTTGTTATATTATCATCATCCAATTGTCTTTATTTATATCAAGTATCAGATTCTACATCAACCATATAGCCGGTAGCTCAAAATCCTATCGCTAGAATTACTCCATCGGCTTGTCAGCTGATCGGCTCATTGATATGCTATTTGTATATCTTATCAGTTGCAAGATCAAACTGACTGGCATGCCCGCATCTCATCAACCTTTGGACCTGCACTAAAGTTAAGCAGATCTCTTAGGCCGTTGTATTCGTTTACTTATATAGTTCGCGCCAACACAATTCTGGCACCATCAGCCAAGCGCGAATTTTTCATCAACAGCGGGGTACGGGGTGGACCGGAGATTGCGGCAGCAGTGGTTGCGGCATCCGACGCCAACGGCTGGAGGAAGGGGACGGGCCCGATAGATGGGCCCCACCTGTCAGTAACCAGGAAAGGAGAGAGGGGGTGCGGGCCGGCCCAACAGGGAGGGCGAGCGTGGGCACAGAAGGCGGACTAGGCTGATGGCCCAAGAAAAGGAAAAAGGAGGAAAAAGAAAAGGAATTTCCTGTGATTTATTTATTGTAGAGAATAGATTTTCATTGGTTAAAATTATTTCCAAGGCTCTGAAAATTCCACTAAAATCATGTTAATGCATTTAAACATCGGTAACTCAAGAAAAATTCCACCATACCATTTCCAATTATCAATTGCATTTATTAATTAGGGTTCAGCTCTAGATTAAATTAAACCATTTCTTCAAGCAATTTATGAAACGGATTTAAAGCTAGAAATGGGAAACTTAAGGGTGCACCATGTCAATTAAGAATATTTTTAAAATAGATATTTTTTTTCTAGTCTTTACCTATTATAAAAGTTTAAAATGTTTTTGCCGGTATTTTGGTACGTCGTCCGTATTTAAGTCGGTTTTAATCTCTACTACTTAAAATTGATAATTTTAGAAAGGGCGAAAAAAAATCATGCGGGAAAAGAAAACGCATCTTAATAAAACGCGGTAGAAAAACAGCGAGAAAAAAAGTCCGATCCGGACTGGAAACGGAAAAAAAATGGCGAAAAAAGATGGAGAAAACAGAAAAAGCCGAGCGTACAAAAATAAAAAAAAGTCGTCGACCTTAAAAAAAATAAAGAAAGTCACGCGAAAAAAGAAACCGCCGTCTAAAAAAAGTGAAGAAAAAAGCCCGTAAAAAAATTACCGGAGATAAAACACATTATAAAACAGCGAAAAAAAAGACCTATTGGTATATGTCCGTCTCTTTTATCCGCCTTTTTTTCTTTTTTATGTCCGCTTTTCTTTTCTATTTTTTCCATCCGCTTTTTTTCGTCCTTTTTTTTTCCATCCGTCTTTTTTTCGCTGTTCTTTCCGGTTATTTTGTCATCGCCATTTTCCCTTTGGAAAAAGTATGAATTACCCCCACAACTATCGCGGTCGACCGAATTACCCCCAGAACTACAAAACCAGACATTGCTCACCCTAAACTTTTAATACCAGACGAATTACTCCCCTCGATCCAATCCAGAGTGATTTTGTCCTACGTGGCGTACGCGTGGCAATCCAGTCAGCATTTTTTATAAAAAAATTAGTGGGACCCACCTGTCATACCCCCTCTCTCTTCACCACCTCTCAGGTCTTCACTTCCATCTCTCTCTATATGAGCGCACGACGACACGCCAGGGAGGGCGGTGGACGGCGGCGTGCAGGGGGCGGGTGACGCGGAGCCGCGGCGGCGGCGGCGGCGGCAGGTGACGGAGAGGCGGCGGCAGGGGACGAGGAGGCGGCGGCGGCCACGACGAGCAGCCGCCTCCTCAGCGCGGTCGTCGGCGGAGGGGGACACAGAAGCAGCGGCAGCGACGGCGGCGGGGGACGCAGAGGCGGCGGTGGCGGCGCAGGACATAGAGGAGGGAGCGGCGAACTCCGGGAGGGAGCGGGAGGAAACTCCGGCGAATTCCATCCGGCGCTACCTCCTCCTCCGCTCTGCGAACGGCCGCCCACTGCAAGCGGGCGAGCGGGAGGCTACGCGGCCCCGTCACCGCCCTTGCCTCCGCGGTCACCGGCTGCGCCGCCCCGTCACCCCCTCGGAGCCGCCGGCGTGCCGCTCATCCTCGACGGCGCCGCCTTCGCCTCCACGCGCCGCTCGTCCTCGGCCTCCACCGGCACGCGGGATTCCTCCGCCTCCGCCGATGCGCCGCTCATCCTCCGCCTCCACCAGCACGTGGGATTCCTGAGCTGGTCAGCCTCCGCCGGTGCCGCTCGTCTCCGCGCCCCTGCTCGCCGGCCGCCCCCTCACGCCGCCGTCCACCGGCCTCCCTGGCGTGTCGCCGTGCACACATATGCCTGAGAGAGAGATGGAAGTGAAGGGGTGAGAGGTGGTGAAGAGAGAGAGGGTATGACAGGTGGGTCCCACTAATTTTTTAAAAAAGAAAATGCTGACTGGATTGTCATGCGTACGCCACTTAGGACAAACCACTCTGGATTGCAACGAGGGGGGTAATAGGATTGCAACGAGGGGGGTAATTCGTCCGGTATTGGAAGTTTAGGGTGAGCAATGTCCGGTTTTGTGGTTCAGGGGGTAATTCGGTCGACCGCGATAGTTCCGGGGGGAGTAATTCGTACTTTTTTCTTTCCCTTTTGTTCATCCGCTTTTTTTCATCCCTAAATTTTATTCGTAATTTTATTCGTAATTTTTGTTATACGGAAGGGTTTGCGCACATTGTGAGGATTCTATTTTTTTTATCCGACCGGTCTTTTCGTCGTCGGGCCGAACCCTACCACTACCGCCACATTGATCGGCCTTCTCAGGCTTTCCCTCCTCCAATTAATTGCAAAAATCAATTCTCCACTACTCCATCATCATTTTTCCCATAATTTTTTTCATTCAGTTCTGCTTAATTTACCGGATTCAATATTCCATATTTAGAAGTCACCATTTATATTCGAGAGTTTTGTGGATTCGCTGCGATTTTGATAAAAACGGAAAGAAAGATTGAGTGAATAAAAGCAGTCAACTATTTTTGGGAGATTGAAAAAGATTCGAACGGATTTAACGGGGAGTATCGGTTCTGGCATCGTACTAAACGGTATTGTCTTCGAGGTTGAAGACCGCCGTCGACTATACAAGCTAGGCCCATAGCTCTACTTGTGAGCTAGGTCAAAAGAGAAGTAGGCCCAGTAGAGAGAATTACCGAGCTGGGCCAAGACTGAAAAGGAAGGAAGAAAATACTCCCTCCATCTACATTTACTTTTAATAGTCATATTTTATCTTGGCACACAGACCAAGGATAATTGATTCTACTTATCATCTATTTAAATATGATACTAGTCATTCCTCGTAAACAAGCGATTCATTAATATTTACATTTCTCGATGCCCATATAGCTAATCTTGTGTAGAAAAATGGAGACTCACGTATTAAATTTAAGAAAGCCATTAAGATGATAAGTTGTTGGATTGAAATATGCATATTAAAAATAATTTTTTCAGATTTGGAAATATGACTATCAAAAATAGATGGAGAGGGAGTAAGTTTTTATCCAAAACCAAATAGTATAATAATGTATAGCAATCAAAAATGTTTTTGCTCGTTGGAACGCACGGATATTTTTTTAGTTGAAAATAAAATACAATTGGTGCATTGGGAATTGCAAGTTTTGTAGGCTGCCATCGAAGAGGCGGCGAATTCTGAAACAAAATCGAATATTCTGCTATGATCCTGGCGGGAAGGGAAGGGAAGCGACTTGCGGCGGAGCCCTCCCCGCGTCTCCCCCGCCATCCCACCACCGCCGATGGCCGCTAGGCCCGCCACCGACGGGGAGGGCGTCGACGCCTCCGTACCCTGGTGGCGGCGGAAGCGCCCGCGGCTGCCGCCGCCGCCGCCGGAGGCCGACGCGGAGGAGGTGAAGGCGGAGGCGCTGGCGCTGATGGCGGCCCACCCCGTGCTCCCGCGGCTCGTCGTCTTCGACCTCGACCACACCCTCTGGCCGTTCCAGTGGTTCGTCCTCGTCATTCCCTATACTCCCATCTCCTTATCCCATACTGAATACCAAGGGCTCATACCGTTTTCTTGGGCTCCCTACTTTCAGAATAATTGTTTGGGATAGCCCATTATCAAAGAAGCGCTTGTCTTGTGCTTGTGATGCTGCATTATTCGAGGTACTCCTCAAATTGATTGACTGCAGGGAAAATGTGGTGAACAAAAATTACTCGCCAAATTGTACTGTGACTAGTGAGGGATCGATTTCAAGCATCAATTTTGCTATGCCTAATTTCAGTGATGCAACTACTTCAGGAATAGGAAGTTACATGTTTTGCATAACTACTGAGAGTCTGAGTATGTGTATTTACAAATTACATAGGGACTATGGAAAATGTGTGTGGGTATTAGAAAACTTTCTGGGTATGTTTGATAGTAGACATACTGACCTTGCTACAAATTCAGCTAGTCTTTTGGTTTTCCACATTCAGCAAACGGGCAATGGGACAGTCATTCGGGCAACTGGTATAATTTCAGCAGCCATCGAAATGATTGTGAAATTCTTGGGGTAGGCAAAGGATTGGGGCTTGGGCACAATTCCCACGCCTTCTTTATTTTCACGGTCTTGGTAGCTTAGGTTAGTTAGAGTGTTGTAGTTGTGGTTTTCGCCAAGTTTTCCCTAATTAACTGCGCATTGTAAGGTTTGGTCACTTTTTCTCCTTAAAATAGGGCATTTTCTTCTTCATACAAAACGTCGGCAATGGCCTGACTGTTCGAAAAAAAAAACTATAAGCCGCATGTTTTTTGGTTTTTATTATCTATTGGTGGTTGCTTTGTCATGTGGGGCTATACAAATAGCCAGAGTAACCATAGCACAATGACCGATTGATCTAGCTGAGCTTCCAGGTAGTTTTGCTCTTGCTTAGGTCTTAAGTCAAATGACTCAGTTATTAGACTTTTGGTTAGGTATTAGATTAAGCTAGTTGAAGTTTCTTCTGGTCTGCACACCTCTTTATGAGTTTCCAGCGGCATTTGAGTGGAATTACCAAATTAAATAAGCAATTTGTCAATCTCTCCCTTATGTGTCTCTCTTCCTGTCCTTGAACATGCACATTATCACAGCTCTGCTTCTCAAGTACAGGCTAAATCTATGATCTATCAGTTGATCGTACCTGTGGGCTAAGGGTTATACTCCAGTTTGGCATATTTCATACTTATGTTTCAGACTTAAGACCCTGTAATTCCAATCTTCACTATTGTTTGTTTGGATTTGTGTGTTCACAAGGATAAATGTTTATATAATTATCTTAATTTTTTTTCAAAAACATAATTATGTTACTTGATTGGCTCCACTTAACATAACCCTTGGTAAATTTGTAGCATATTTAGTCTAGATTGAAATTCTTTTTGAAAATGTGTATGTTTATATATGACATTTGAGAACATTGATTTACACTAGTTGAATTCTCAGAGTGGTTTCAGCCCATGATGTCTTCTGCATAAGACTGAAACAGCATTGAACAAAGTGGTTTATTTTCCTTGAATACACAGTACTAAATTACCTAAGTATTTCCTTGATGTTCCTAGTGACAGTGTCTCTTTTCTGGGGATTTAATTGAGCCTCTTGATGCAGAACCTACTTAGGGCCTATTCGGTTCATAGGATTTTCAAATCACATGAATAGGAAAAACGTAGGAATAATGTAGGAATGCAAGTGCAAAACAAAGGATTGGAACACAGGAATTTTTCCTACACTTAGCTAAACAAGAGGATGGAGTGGATGTTTTCATTCCTATGGAATTAGTACATTTTGGAGGATTGGCATAGTGTTCCTATGGAAAATTTTCCTTTGAATCCTACAAACCGAATGCATGAATAGTGCTTATTCCAAAGGAATTGAGATTTCCTTTAGGAATCCTTCAAAATAATTATGTTGAACAATGGAACAAAATGAAACATTACAAACAAAGGACACTATGAATTTCTCAAGCTTCCGGACATGATGGTTTTCTGCATACACAGCACTGACTACTAGCCCTCAAATTTGGAGTTAAAATGGTAAAATAAGAACCAGGAATCATGGAGACAAATGCATAAAAGGTAAGGTGAACAAAGCAAAATTCAACATGGTAATATGGAAATCTTGTTAGCCTTGTATAAGTCAAAGGCGACTAGTAAGGTCAATTAGTTAAAATTGTTTTTCTTATCTAATGATTGACTTTGCTCACCTAACTAAATTGTTACAGTTTGACACTGACATGTTATGGAACTTGATGAAAATATTTATCTTTTCTCATATGTAATGTGACCTATCATACTCCATCTACTTGTGAGATCAGTGTTGGGCTGGCTTCTGCCTTCTTGCACTTCTCCATATATCCTTTATAGAACGATATAGTTAGATCCAATTGCCAGCTTTTGTTATAAGGTGCATCCCACATTTCTCAATTTCAGCATTACATTATAATCTGGGTAACATCAGCACCCCATGACATTTGACAAACCACTCATGTTATATTTATCCAACAAATTGACGCTACATTGATCAAGTTACAATTTCATTCCAGTGATCGTCTGCCAAAAGATGAACCCCCTTATCTTTATCCACAAGCTAGAGGTATACTGAAAGCACTTAAGGATAGGGGAATTGAGATGGCCATTGCTTCTCGAGCATCCAGGAAGAAAGGTGTTGCAAAAGCATTTCTGGAAAAACTTGGCATTCACTTCATGTTTGGGGCTCAGGTGAGAATTATTTATTCCACACGTTCTTAAAATGAAAAGGTAAAAACAAACACTAATTAAGTGAAGTGTTTCCTAAGAACATAATAGCAGGATTATGTACAAAATAGTACAGTGGTAGGTGCAGCAAAAACAGACTTGATTAACTGTTCAAAAATGTGCTAACAAACTTATGTCCGGCCTTCATTCCTATTCAAATATGGTCAGAAGTAACTTCTTGTTGTCACTAAATAAATTTTGATTAACTATAGGAAATATTCTACACTTGGAGTCCAAAGAATGAGCATTTCCAGAGTATCCATCGGAAGACAGGTGTACCTTTCAAGTCTATGCTTTTCTTTGATGATGAGGCCAGAAATATTATAGCAGTAAGATCTTTTCTTTGATACTTCCCTGATTGGATATCCCGGTGGAATAGCAACTGTATCAATGATGGAGTGTTTTATTTTTAGTGGAATTTAACCCAATCAACGATAGAATCTCCTTGTTGATTTTACAGGTTACTTAGGGCTCCAATTTTAACGTTTTTGTGGATGCGTACATATCCTTTGTTGCTGAATGTTTAAATGAATCCCGTCTTAAATTGCTGTATAACTTATTTTATCGTGAAACTTTTGTCTGTGTTGTTTCAGACAAGGAAATTGGGGGTCAGTTGTGTGCTTGTGGATACTGGTATAACTCTGGAGAAGTTAAGAACTGGACTAAGCAACTATGCTAATAGATCAGCATCACCAAATGCAGAGCCGGCGGGCGGGCGAAGTGCTGAGATTACGTGGTATTTAGATGTGGCTACTGGCTAGTTAATACTAGTCTGGGAGGACTTATGTATGCTCATGTATTATATACTCCTTTGGAGCACGTACTTTAATATAATTTTAATATAATTTAAGGGACAATTGCTTATTTAACCATATTCTAAAAGCTGGCTACCAATTTGACCTCACTTTTTTAACTTTGCTTGTTTGACCTCGTTTTTCAAAATTAAAGATCAAGGTTAACCTTATTCCGTGAAGGTAAGCTAACAGTGTTAACTAAGAGGTAAATTGTCATTTTTAACCTTTCTCATTTGACAGAATTTTGATATGTTAATACAATCGGAATAATTTACAGTGCGACTGTGCGACACATATTAGTGACCGAAATGGATTGAGATCCAGTGCAGTCCTAACTGTGACCGCAAGTTAGGAACTGCATATCATCTCAGCCATCCATTTTTTCAATGAACGGTCTAGATCTGATGCTACAGTGTTGCTGCTACAGTAGTTCTACAGTTTTTTTCAGATGTAAACAGCACTTCATAGATTTTGGACCCTTGGATTTGCATCATAAGGTCCTAGTGTGACTGCTTATGTTGCAGTAACACTAGGTACTGCACCGGATCCAAATCCGACCGAAATGTTCAGCAAGCTGACCCTCTTGACAACAGGGTCAATACCTAGTCAAATTACAAGTGCACTTAGTATTTCCATCATATTTATATTTTAAAGTGTTTTCACACGATAATGGTTCTACCACTGCTAAGAGGTCGATAGCCAAAAGTTTAGTGCTCCTTTGATTGTATCCTATAAAAGTTCTATGAAGGCATTTTAAAACAAAGGACTGGGTCTCTAAAACTTCTTCAAAATTCCCGTGAAACATATCTATGAAAGCGTATGTGTTTCATGGGTGATTCCTAAGCATATGCAATCTCTTCGGAATTTTCCTTTTGAATCTACTTCCAAATTCTGTCTTTTTTTCTATGCTCTATCTGAATGGTTTCTTTGTAGTTTGTGTTTTTCATTCCTCTTAGATTTTAAGGTGTCGTGCAATCTAATCGTATGAAAACATTCCATAGGATTCAAGGTGTTGTGACAATCTAATCATGCGCTTTTTTCATTAGTGTTTTGAAAATGGCAAAATTTACTACAGGACACCGAAAGATTGTGGCCTTTACTGTGGGACACCCGAAGTATTTGCTCGTGGACACTGTAAAAAAGTGGTAATTAGCTGTGTAAGTACCAAAAGGAGAGAGAAAAAGTTGTGTAAGTACCAAAATGCCCATGCATATTGTTCTTCCTCTCTTTCTTCTTTTCTTTCCCCTTCTTCCTCGCAGCGAGGCGCGACGGCGGCCGGCCCGAGCCGAGACAGCTCGGCCACGATGGGGCGGCGGCAAAGGCGGCGCATCGCCGGGGTTCACTCCGACAGCGACGACGCACGGCGGCATCCCAGCACACGAGTTCCTCTCTTTCTCTTCTTTTCTTTTCCTCTATCTCCCGACGCACGCCGACGTGGTGCACTGCCCGGGCGGGCGCGGGCGCAGCCATCTTCTTTCGCCCCGGCGAGGAAGACGGACTCGAGGTGCACGGTGGCGAGCGCCGGCGCGGAGTCGACGACGCCCTGCAAGTCCTTGACCTGCACGACGCACAGCCGCAGCCGCAGCGTCGTCAGCCGCGGGAGCGCCGCCGGCGGAGAGGGAGAAGCTGCCGTACCCGGTGACATCGAGCACGTGGAGCGTCTCCGACGGCTGTGTGTTGCTGCGGAGGGAGAGGTGGAATTCCCCTTCCATCTCCGCGACCTCCTTGTCGGACGACGGCTCGTCGGCGGACTTGACGGCGGCGACACGGAGCTCCTCGACGCGGCGCGCCACTGGGTGGGAGACGACACCAGCGACCACATCGTGCTTCCTCTCCCAATCCTGCGGGTCGCGGTGCAGGAACACGTCGGCGAGCGCGGCGTGGGCGGAGCGGACAAACGCGTCGTGGAGGGAGAAGTCGTCGTTGCCCCGGTGGATGAGGCCGGACGGCGAGGTTGACGGCTCCGGTGGAGCGCCAGAGCGAGCGCCAGCGGGTGGAGAGGAGGCCGGTGGACGCGGCCTCTTTCGCCGGCGCGAAAAAAAGGATGCCTGCCTGAAAAAGGTGTGCCGTGACAGAGAGAGGAAGAGAAGAACAGAGAAAGAGAGGAAGAAGATGAACAGAGAAAGAGAGATTGACAAGTGGGCCCATGGGTAAACTTGTCTTTAACCAAAGTTTATCTCTCCTTTTCGATCGGAAATAATAAAATAATGGGAGGAGTGTCCAGCAGCTAATTACCACTTTTTTACCGTGTCCACGAGGAAATACACGATCTTCAGGTGTCTCACGGCAAAGGCCACAATCATTCAGTGTCCTGTAGCAAATTTTGCCTTTGAAAATCGTGCATTCTTGAGGAGCCTTAATTTTAAAGGACGTTGGAAAGAAAAAATTGGCCTTATAAAAGAAGGAATGCAGTATCCCGTTTGCTATCTTATATATGCCAGCCAGCTAGTAACTGAAATTATATTGTGACCGAGCAAAATCCAGCCAGCTAGTAACTGAAATTATATTGTGCTAGCCAGTAAAATTCTGGCCTATCTTGGATGGTTTTGCTCATATTTACGGTAGGAAAGAAAATGAACAGCATATGAACAAGAACTCAATGACATTTTGCTCTACAACATAACAATCATGCACAAGGGTGCCAAACGATAGGAACAACCGAGAAAGCGCAATTCAAAAGAAAATATGCAAATTCAAAAGAAAATATGCAAATCCTGCTTTTTTTAGCACAACAATTTCATAAAAATGCAAATCCTGCGCACTAGTCTGGAGGATGCAGAATTGCTGAGTACTACACAACTTTTTTCATTAGAACAACCCGGGTAGGTGTTAAGTAACCTGAAGGCCTAACTGATTGTCTGATTCCACCACCATCACCACACAAAAATGATAAACAGTTACAGCTCTGTCAACACAATTTCAGAAGTAAAAATTGAGTTCAAAACAAATACGAAACTCTCCAGCAACCAGGGAGAAATGATTCAAAATTCAGTCTATTTGGGACAATATGAGTGGTAGATAAGTCCAGCAAGGAGAAACAGCAAGGCTCAACACAAACTTTTGGTGTTACATTCAAAACCCAGCATATAAATTTCACCTTCTAATAGCTACTAAAGCGAACTGGAGCAAACATTCCTGGTGCTACCAACAGCATAGTCTGTCTTGATGCTTAAACCTCCTGGACAGTCAAACCTGAAAAAAGAAATTCACAATCAGTAACAGCTAACAATGGCTGGTCAATTCAACAAAAGAAATTTTGTACCTTATGTGTCAGTGATAAAAACAGTAAAGCACAGAAAGCAATGTAAAAAACATATATAAATTCAGGATGAACTATAGACAGCTCAATTGTGTGTATTACAGGGTTGTAAGTTGGCTGGTCTTTAGGCTGCACCAATCCTTTGAAAAAGTTACATAAACTTGGGGTGCTGGGTTTTGTCTGTTGGACCAGGTCAGCAATTGTAGTGTTCTGCTTAGTGGCAGGTAGTTTTATAGCATATTTAATCTGAAATTGAACTGGTATTCCCAGTGCTATGATTACTTTTGCTGGTTTTCTTAGGACCAGGACAGGTGAAAATGAAATGACAATAACAAGATACACAATTTTTTTAGTTAATATCCATTATGCCATTTTCTTTTGAGTCAATAGGCCAGACATACTGGCATCTCAATATATCACAAGTAAACAATAACAAGCTGTACAAGCACAAGCAGGAACAATGGAGGATGGTTGCAACTGCTCAATCTCATCCTGAAGCAAGTTCCGGCCTATATGCAACTACTGGTTGCTAAGATTTCCATAAATGCAGACTAAAATCTAAATGGAAGGGCATTTATCACCAGTTCCACCAGATTAGCATGTCAGACCAAACTGAATTTTACAAAGGACATACAGAACCATACCATACCACTGTCTCAACCAGCCATTTTTTATAATCCTAGAAGCAAACAAATTTTAACAGTTCGCATCAACAAACACAGTCCTACCACCACCACTTGCACCAGAACAGAGTCAATAGTGAAAAAGGTGGATGAAATGTAGGCACGGACCTGGGGGGAGCGACTGCTTGAGCTTGTTGGCCTTGTCGGCGTCGAAGACGCAGAGGGTGTAGAGGTACTTGGAGCACCGCACCTTGAACTTGACGGCGTCCTTGGTCCTCTTGATCCGCACCGACCGCGCGTCCTTCCTCCTCGCCGTCAGGAGGAAGTCCTTGATCTCGTGGATCTGCTTCGGCTGCAACAAGACCAAAACCAAACCAAACCACGGGGTCAATCGCATCCTCTCTTCGCGGCGGGGAAAGAGAGGGGAGGGAAGGAGAAACTCACCATGGTGGAAGGCACTGCTGCTGCTGCTCGGCGGCAGAAGACGACGGAGGCGGCGGCGGCGGCGGCGGCGAGGGGTGGAGAAGACGAGGAGGCGAGAGAGAATGGAACCCTACTTACTTTATATAGGAGCTAATCCGCTACCCTTGGGCCCAACTGATCCAGATGGCCCAGCAACTCCATATTGGGCTGAAGGCCCAAATAATCAGATGGCCCAGCACCGCCATATTGGGCCAACGGCCCAAGAGAGATTCCTATATGCATTCGTCACAACTCTGAGGCTGGCATGTGGGCCTCACACACTTCCAAATACGCTCTCTCCGTACTCGTAAAGAAAGTCGTTTAGTATAATGTTTAAGTCAAACCTTAGTAATATAAATCATGAATAAATCTCAAGTTATTGAGTTTGAAAATGTAAAAATTATATAAATAGATTTGTCTTGAAAAATACTTTTATAAAAATATACATATATCACTTTTCAATAAATATTTTCATAGAAACAAGAAGTCCAAGTCATGTTTTGGAGACCGTGTTGCTGTCCAAAATGACTTCCTTTACGAGTACGGAGAAAGTACCTTGTTCTTCTTCCTCCGTGAAACGGACAGGCCGGAATTCGAGGTTGTGATCTTCCCCACTTTAGCAACTCATCTCCCACGTCTTCCGCACGCACATTTTTGAAACTATAATTGGTGTTTTTTTTAAAATATTTTTTTATACGAAAGTTGCTTTAAAAAATCATATTAATCCATTTTAAAAAAAATTAATTAATTAATTATAAGAAAATGCGTCGCTCCATTTTACGTGCGCCGAAGGTGAGTTCCCAACCTCATCTCTCAAACAAAGCCTAAACAGGTTAAATCTGATTATCTTCTTCTGCATAAAACAACAAGCTTTGCAACTGTCGATGCCTTCATTTGGACCCAAAAAAAAAAAAGGGCATTTGCACTCTTATTCTTGTTTTCCACTGCAATTGTGATTACCTTACTTCTCTAAGTTTGTGATTTATTTAAACCGAAGTATATGTACTTGTCCTCATTCCTTTAAGATGGCTAGATTTGAACTGTCAATGCCCACACTTGCAGATTAGGGAACCCTATGTTTTTCTTAGGATGCTTCTTTCCCTATTTTGGCATCAAACATGCTTATGTGAATTTACGCCCCTGTTCTGACATGAATTTTCACTTACACAATTTTTTTTTTAAAAAATGAGGGAATGAACAAACTTGACATATGCCCATGTTTTAAAGTGAATTTTAACAATGGTAAGGTTGTGTTCGTTTCCCCCAGTTGGGAACTAATACCTTACGCACGGAAAAAAAACAGTCCATTAACGCATAGTTAATTAAGTATTAGTTTTTTTTTCAAAAATAGATCAATATAAATATAAATTTTTTAAGCAACTTTCATATATAAACTTTTTGAAAAAACACAACGTTTAGCAGTTTGAAAAGTGTGCACGCAGAAAACGAGTGGCATGGATTGGGAACACTAACTAACGAACACAGCTAGGAAAGCTGTGTGCAATTAGCACGTGATTAATTAAGTATTTAATATATATTTTTTTCAGAAATAGGTTGATATGATTTTTTTCAAGCAACTTTTTTAAGAATCTTTTTGAAAAAACGCACCGTTTATCAGTTTGAAAAACGTGCACGCGGAAAACGAAAAGAAGGAGTTGGGAACATGTCCTACCGAACGCAGCCTAAGTCGTCTAACAGGATGGGGGCAAGCACAAGCTCTATTTATTTTAAAAAAACGGTGGTAAGAACCAAATGCTATAAAAGAAAACTCTAAGGCATAAAGTATCACAAACTCAAAAGTAATATACTCCTAATGCTCTTTGTTATATAATACCCAATACATCCACAGTTGGAACAGAACATAGCAGCACAGAGCTAGCTCTTGTACCAGCAAGTTGGAATAGTAGCGAGTCGGACAAAGGGAACAATAGAACCACATCATTGGTTATGTTGGAAGTCCAATATCCCAAGTAATCCAGCGGGACACTGTTTGAGATTCTGGCTTTCCAAAATGTTGGCTTACAGTAACCTCAAAGGTGCTTAGGCTTTTAACATAACCTGAAAATAAATAGAACAAAAACTTCAGTACGATGGCTTTGCCCGAGCAAGTTGCATATAGTTTGATGTTGAATTGCTCTAGCTATGAGATGTGTCAATATCGAAATTCTGAAAATGTGACTGTGGGGCATGTTCAATATGCCTTTAGGAAAACTAAAACTCATAGACGCTGGACTTCTACTATTGTTCCTTTTTCTTCAAAAATAGAGGATTGCAGAAATCACGAAAGAAGATTATAAATAAGAACAACTTCTGAATGGCAGAACATCATAACTTTATTTGAAGAAGTAGAGAATTACATCAAGCACAACGTCGTGTAAACGAATAAAAAAGGTAAAGAATTCAATGTGGTTTTCTTCAGAATAAACTAACTGGACTGGAATATCTACGGTCAAGGGTGAACTTGTTTACCTTTGTCTACAGTTTTGAATGATTTTAGAATACATATAATTATGTAATATATTCAAAATGTCAGTGGATGCCAATCCTAAAGTATTAGAGACAAAAACAAATATATCAAAAATTTATAACAAAAGTAGAGGGAGAAAAAATATTGTAAGATATAATTGCAGGAAAACGAACATGACAATGTGACTCACCATACAGGAGGATTGATTGTTTTACTTGTTGCCAAATGGACCAAAACGCTGCCAAATATGCTCCATTAAGTCCCTTCTAAGTTGTGCATGTGTTGGTTGAGCACAAACAGAAGCATTTCTCCGTACCACTTCAGCATAACAGCCAGCAGGCACAGTGTTGATATCTGATAAAAGAACAGCCAGTGTCCCTAAGATTTCATCCGAGTCAAAACAAGAGCTTCCCATATCTTTCTCATCCTCAACTGTCATGTTGTGAAGTATAATGCAAGCTTGCATAATTTTGACAAGAGTCTCTTGTTGAAAGAAACGAGTGGGACCACGCACAATGGCAAAACGAGATTGTAGAAGTCCAAAGGCTTCCTGGACGTCCTTCCTTGCTCCTTCTTGATGCCGTGCAAACAATTGATCCTTTTCGCTCTGAGGGAGGGTTACTGTTTTAACAAAGACATTGCCTTCTGGGTATATTCCATCAGCAAGATAGTAGCCTGTATTGTATTGCCTCCTGTTGACAGAAAATTGCACATGAGCAGCTTGGCCTTTCAACAATTCGGTGAACAACTGTGGTTGGCCGAGAATGGTGATCTCATTGTTCGATCCAATGGCACCAAAGAAAGCATGCCATATCCAGCTGTCATTTGAAGCAACCGCTTCAAGAATCATTGTAGTCGCACCATGATCGGTATGAGTAAGGTGACGCCTCCATATAACTGGGCAATTTTTCCACTCCCAGTGCATACAGCCAATACTTCCTAACATGCCAGGGAAGCCCCGTGCCTCATTCATTTGTAGTATATGTTGCATATCCTCACTAGTGGGGCTTCGCAAATATTCTTCACCAAAATTGTCAATCACCCCTTCCACAAACCAATCCAAACACTCCAGTGCTGTGCTGATACCAGTATCTACGTATTCATCAATGGCGTCTCCGAGGGTGCCACATGCTAATGCACGAATGGCTATTGTGCATTTTTGCAAAGGTGAGAGCCCTTGACGATTAATGGCATCTCTCCTACTAGTGAAATAGGGAGACCACTCACCTAAGGCATGAACAATACGTAGAAAAAGGGGTCTTCTCATCCGGTACCTTGCACGGAACTGTTTATCACTGTAGATTGGATCTTTAGAGAAGTAATCTTCCACGAGTCGTCGATGGCCCTCTTCGCGGTTCCTCTTTACATATTTCCGTTCACCACTTCGAGGGTGAGATGTACTAGCTTTCTGAGCTTCAATCTTGGCCTCAATCTTCACAATGATCCGCTGAAGAAAATTGTCCACGATGCTTTGCTCAGCAATGAATTCTTCCATAGAGTATATGCTGGCTGGGTGGATGATGTTGCTATCTTCGGAATCATTTGAGCTTGAAGATGTGTCTGATTGATGGGACATACCTGAAAAGAAAAGGGAGACTCGTATATCAAGGTTCAATGGCAAGTAAAATACACTACTGATCCCAAATCCAAATAAACATTAAACAACAGAATTGAGCTTAGTTTTAAAAAATTTATACCTCGCCTATAAAAGGAACTTCATAGAAAAAGATGCAAGTGGAAAAACGAGGAGCTTAAGGATTATTCTAAACTAACCAGTCGCTAACATTAGCAACTTTGAGATCAATTATACTCTTTTGTAGTTAAAGAAATCTAAATGAAATTAGCATTGTTTATTATGCATGTACATACATATTGTGTATAAGATATCAGCCTTCGGTGTCCTATAAATTTTCTCTGGTGAACTGTATACTTTTGCATACCCTCTAAGAAGAAATGACACTACGTAAATACGCTAACATTTATGATGTGTTCACCATTGAATTATTAGTCAAAGGCCCAAACGGAACTGCATTCAACAGAGTGCCAGAACTATTTTGCCTGCGTTTACATTACTGCAAGCTTGAACGAGTTGATTTCTTTTAGTGATTTACAGTTGATTCACTTTCGGTACATTACAAGTGTTAGCGATTAGGATAGTCTACTACTAGCATTTTAAAGCAGCTACCAGAACAAATGTTCTGATTCATCAGTTCTTGGGCTCCTGATAAATCAGCAGATGTGACAAATGAATATCAGGGCATTGCTTGGTATGAGCAAGTAGCATTCCCCCAATTTTTTTTCTGACAACCATATCATTGGACGCTAACTTAACCCACTTATTTTATTAAAAAAATCTAATTAATAGCTCCACCATGAAATTTTTGCCACAGATCGAAGCAAACCAGGCGGGATTAGACAGGCGTAATCCCCCGACATACGGAAAAAAAAGAAAGGGGAGATTACCTCCTCCGTGCAGGAGGGCGAGAGAGCAATTGATCGGTGAAAGCGACCAGGCGAAGACGAAGGGGAACCGTAGTGCTGAAGACACAGCCGCGCAACACGCACAGGAGACCCCCCTCGCTGCGCAGGCGCTGCTGCGGCCACCACCCCCGTTCACGCCGAGTCGCAGGCGCGACGGTGACGACGACGAAGAGAAGGGGGAAACCGGCTGAGAACGCGCAGTCAAGCAGCGAGGGGAATGGGGATAGGGTTTTTGGCGTTGCTGTCGTCGGTACAGGAGGAGGCGGCGGCGGCGCAACCACGCAGTGCTGCTACCGGAGGATGCGCGTAAGGTGGATAGAGGTGGGACAAAATGGGCGCCGACGACGACCGGCGGCGACGGAGGCAGGCAGCCAAGGACGACGAAATCGGCCGGCGGCGAGCTGAGTGTTGGGCTGCGAGCCCGCCACGAAGATCAACGTCGTGGGCCTGCGGTAAGTAGGCCTTACTCCTGACAATAGGCTGGGTATCAGAAAGGAATAAGTTTATTTGGCCTCTCTCATGTCTTGTCCATGCCTAATGGTATCCCTCAACCGCAAAATCAGGTATAACACCTCCTTTCTAAGGCAGCATTGAGCCTAGTTTTAGCTTACGTGATGTCAGCCACTCCTACCCTCGCTCCCCCAAGCTAAAATCGGATTGAATGTTGTTTGGGAGTAGATTTGCCTAATGGTATGACGAAGGGCACGACGGTGAGGAGGTGACCATTAAGGAGCTGAAGCCAGTGGAGCCGCTGCCATGGACTGGCGCAGAGATTAGCGACGTCTTCCAAAGAGTCCTGCTTCCTCTGCAGCCATGCCGTATTAGAGACGGGGCTATCAGGGCTTCGTCTGCTTCCACAAGTGGCGGCCAACGGCCCGACAAGCTACCCGCCGCACCCTCGCGCTCCTACCCAACGCGCGGTAGAAACGACGGGACTGTTGTGGGTTCAACTGGGAGTGGATCTGGGAGAAGCCCACACTAGAGTCATCGTTGACCGGTGGAATAGGAACGAAAAGTGCTTGTTGCGGCTCTAGTACGACTTAGGTTGTGCTTGCCAACATTTGCTCCGTGTAACAGTCCCTTCTTGAATAATGGCGCGCGCAGCGCATGTGCACGACAGAGAAAGAAGCAAGGGGGGCTTCCTTCCAGAGGAGGAAGACGACCAAAGAGAAAGAAAGGAGCTGGGAGATGACGCCAAAAGCTGTCCTGAGATGGAGTTTGATATCAATGACATCGTAAAATTTTATAAAAGTTCAGTGGCACGTAGCAGGTTTCATGAATAGTAATGTTTTTTAAAAAAATTAGCAAATTTGAAATTATATGGATCCGATTAACCTTTTTGGGAGCTAAGGAACCAAGCACAATATTTGGGAGCTGAAGGAACCAAGTACAGTATCTTGTCTGTGGTTCGAGTAACAAAAGAACACAAGGATTGTATTGGGTGGAGTTTTTTTTAACTTTTCCGACTCGCGAGTGATAATCCATAAGCAAACGATGTGCCAAACCCTATACATAATCTGCAAAAAGAATATAGAGGTGGATTTTCGATTTCAGCCCATACAAGCATTTTCACAAACCGACATGTTCTTTTCTCCAACAAAAGTTGGATTAAATTTTGGATACTCGTGGCACGCTTTTCAAACTGTTAAATAGTGTGTTTCGTGCAAAAACTTTCTATATGAAAGTTATTCTAAAATGTAAGATTAATCCATTTATCAAGTTTATAATAATTAAAACTTAATTAATCACACGTTATTACCACATCATTTTGCGTGAAACACTTAATCTTCATCTTCATCTTTAGAAAATTCAAACACCACTCGGATTTTTTCATCCGTTAACTATAAGATTTTAGTAGGGAGACCCGTCAAATCGAGATTCAATTAACTAAGGCCATGTTTAGTTCCAAAACAAAAAATTTTTACGCTGACATATCGAATGTTTGGACACATGTATGGAGTATTAAATGTAGGAAAAAAAATCAATTACACAAATTGCATATAAATTATAAAATGAATCTTTTAAGCCTAATTGCGTCATGATTTGATAATGTGGTGCTATAGTAAATATTTGCTAATGACGGATTAATTAGGCTTAATAAATTCATCTCACGGTTTCCTAGCAGAATCTGTAATTTATTTTGTTATTAGAGTACGTTTAATATTTTAAATGTATGTTTATAAATCTGATGTGATAACCAAACCCAGAAATTTACCCAACTAAAAAGGCCTAAGACTCAACTCCTATGTCGTACTGCTTCTGCAGGAAGAGAGACTCAAATTTGGACCCTACAGCAAGGAGGGCCCACATTTTAATCCGCGAAGGATCTTGTTCTAATTAGGCACTGTTTACATCCCACCCTAAAATTTTTCATTGTCACATCGAACATTTGAACACCTACATGAAGCATTAAATATAGGCTAAAAAAATAACTAATTACACATATTGTGACTAATTTGCGAGACGAATCTTTTAAGCCTAATTGCTCCATAATTTGACAATGTTGTGCTACAGTAAACATTTGCTAATGACAGATTAATTAGACTTAATAAATTGTGAGAATAGCTACTGTAGTTCCTAAAGTTTTTTTTTGTAGAATCAGTATAATCCCTAACCTTTTAAATAGTCCAAAGAAATCGTTAAACTTTGTTATAAAGCCTAGAATAATTCTTTGGTCCACCAAAATCATTATATGGATATGCCACGTCATCATTCATGCAAACTCTATGAATTGTCCAATTTATCCTTACGTATATCATAGAATAATAAATATAAGGATGAATTAGACGTAACCATAGGAAAAAAATACTTTTCCTTTTTTTTTACCCTTTTGACATATATTTTTGCTCTTACATATACCATATATATATATATATATATATATATATATATATATATATATATATATATAAACTTTTTTCTTTTGTTTTTTATTTTCCTATGATATATGTAAGGGTAAATTGGATAAATCATATAGATTTTGTATAGGAGGGTGACATGGCATATCCATGTGACGATTTTGGTGGGACCAAGGACTATATCAACCCATGTGATAAATTTAAAGGACTTGTTTGGACAATATAAAATATTAAGGACTAAAATGACCTAGGAGCGAAACTTTATGAACCGTATTGGCTATTCTCCCTAATAAATTTGTCTCCCGATTTACTGACGAATTATACAATTAGTTTTTTTATTAGTGTCCAAACACCTCATGCGACACCCTATATAAAACTCGATGTCGATGTGACACGCCAAAACTTTACACCGACTCAACCATACAATGAAGCCAGGATTGAGATTTTTTATCTTCAAAGACACTGCAGTGATGTTTAAATCTGCTAAAAATGAAGATAAATATTAAATATTTCACGTAAAACGAGGTGGTAATAACGTGTGATTAATTGAGTTTTAATTATTACAAACTTAAAAATGGATTAATCTGATATTTTAGAACAACTTTCATATAGAAAATTTTCACACGAAACGTATTGTTTAGCAGTTTAAAAAACATGACATGAAAATCCATAATTTCATAGAAACGAACAGGACCGCAGGTGAATTCATGATTCACTTAGCCCACGTGTCAAAGGAGAAAAGCCTGATCCGCTCCCCACTACTGCCACCTCACATTTCTGGGAGCATTGTAGCTTGGCTGGTGAACATGCTTGTCCTCCCACCCCAACAGATGGTTTAAGGGAGACTTAGCTCCAATTTCCCAACTAAGTACACCATAACCCTTTAGTCAAAACCTATGTTACATAAATGCCAACTAAGTACACCATAACCCTTTAGTCAAAACCTATGTTACATAAATGCAGCCAAAGCAATTAGTCGATGAAGAAGAACACATATCAGCTGTGCGTTCGCAAGATCTCACAATGTTAACCCAAATGGTACACAAGACAGCCACACTTAAGAAGTTAATCTGTTATGAATTGACAGGGAATAGTCCACCAATATATACATAGGAGTACGCAAGGCTACCCACAGAGAAAAAAAACCATATTCAAGACTACATTACATAATGGAACCATATTCAAGACTACATTACATAATGGGGGAAACTAATAGTACAAAAATTAAGGGATGCATAACATCTGATTTGCAACAACTATATCTTTTTGTAGTTTGAACATTCCCAAGTTGAGTATATATATATAACTCAGTTTATTAGGCGTCAGAAAGAGAGGCAGCAACAAGTGCAATTGAACATTAAAAATTTAAGATGTATGACTCAGTTTATTGGCAGGAATCTCCTAGAAACAACAAAAATAAACCTTGCGCCCGTTTGATAATCCTATCAGTCTTAATCCCGTATAGCGTAAATACAAAGCAACAAGAAGTTGCAAATGCTCCCACATCCATACAACACTTGCAGTCTGACAGAAACTACAATTACAACACCTCAGTGAAATATTGATAGAAGTGACTCTTCTCCGATTAATGTGACAATGTGCTCTTTTGCATATATTCTCAAAAATAAAAGAATGCAAGAGTGGACGTGCAAATATCATTTTTGAGGTACTCATTTGAAAAAAAAATGAAAAGAATTTACTTGATTGTTAAATGCATGTTTTTAGCAGCAATCAACACAAGAACTACCAAGTGAATACTGTACCAACCACACTTTAAAAGTAAGTACTCAATATACTGGCGGTTTACCTTATCAACAAAGAAATTTTGTTTCTATTTCGAGCATGAACACTTTTGAATTATTACTGGACAAGAAAAAAGTTTCAAGCCAAATTATTTTCCTGAAAGTTTGTCAGTTGTAATCCAAACTAGAATTATTCATCTAGAGCTAACTTGAGGAATGAATTACTTAATTTTCTGTGGGGATCATATGCTGCTTCAATTTCACTCACAGTAACTGCAATGGTAGACAAATATTTAGGAACTTCCTGAAAATTGTAGTTTTATACCAGGTTACATCACAGAACTAGTTACTATTCTAACAAGCTCTTTCAGATCTGCATTAGCCCAAGCAAAACAGAGTGCTAGCCATTTGGACCAGTTGTAGAACAGAAGATTATGGTGGTTCAAGTTATGGGTTCCAAGGGTCTATAATAAACATACAACATGATAATGCAGTGACTTCTCCTATCTATGCTACTAATTTTAAACATGAGCAAGTAGCATATGTAAAAAGCTACTTGCTTTGTTTCACATTATAAGATGTTCTGGGTTTCGAATAGATTCATGCATAGATCCATGATTGTGCTTTATATGTGTCCAAATTCATATGTATGTTAGTGAATATAGATGAGAGATGTAGAGGTCAAAACGTCTTATAATGTGGAACGGGGTAGTATTATGAATTATGCACTAACTTTTACAGTATCATCATAACATATGCATAAGCAAAATAATAGTTTTAAGTTCCTGTGGATAGACAGCTTTTACATGTCGAAAAATATCACTTGCAGTACATTAAAAAAAATGGTAGATGGTAAATCCACAGGTGCCAGGAACACAGTAACTGACATACCTTGTAGATATATAAGAATAAGAAAATTCTAATAAACAATCATTAAGGAGCCAATCCCATGATTTGCAATCGACAAAACGAATTTCCCTTACATGCCACTGTCAAGTCAACTATCCCTACCATGACATGCCAGCAAGTGCCTTTTGTTAGGTGAAACTTTGATATTTAAATGTTAGGGTTGCAAATTTTTAAAATTCGCATGTTACCAAATGCTGAAAACTTAGTTTTTTTGATATAAAATGTGGAGTTTTGATCTGATTTTATTCCACAAAATAAAAAAAAAGTGTGGCTGGTACTATTAACAATCCTTCCTACTTCCTCCATGCCAAAATGTAAGCATTTTTAAGGTTAGCACGGGTATTAAGAAAGTAGGTGGGCATGATTGGAGGAATTGTGTGATTGGTTGATAAGAGTAAGTAGATGAAAGAGAATGGTTATGATTGGTTGAGAGGAGAAGGTAGGTGAAGAAATAGTTTTATTTTGGGACAATGTACGGTGCTAGGACGGAAGTAGTACATTTTAAGTCCCGAACTTAGAATGTTGAGCAGGGACAAATTGGTCGATTTTTCCCACCTAACCAGACTGTAAATGGAGGCACATGAAAGCAATGGCATGGTAGGCATGAAGTTGGCTTGCCCATGGCAAAGTGAAGTGTGCTCTGTTGATGGCAAATCGTGGAATTGGCTCTTCACTGATGTCGTGTCAAGTAATCATACCATGCCACAGGACTCTTCGATCTATTAAATTTAACCCTCAAATTAAATGGATACTCCTTTGAGTTCTGGTGCAAACGAGATTAATGTAACATAGGATTTTTATCAGAGAAATAATGAAACCTCAATATTCTGAGCACTTGAATCTACTTGAACTAGGAAAGGAATTTGAGGATCACATGGAGACATATTCTTGGTGGCGGGGCGTAAGGACAATGTGACTTGATTATTCTTCCCAACGTGCCATGGCGTAAGGACACTTTTTTCTTGACTGTTCTTCCCAATCAATTCAAATCCATGCGTTTGCCCCTGGCTGCTTTTAGTTCTAGCTTATAATGGTCTGTTTTTCAGTTTTTTAGCTTAAATTGTTGCTTTCTAGAGTCCTCTCCAGCACCAGAACTATTAAGGGCCCCTTTGAATCGTAGGATTGAGAATACGTAGAAATAGTAAAAATGTAGGATTTTGATAGGAATGTAAGTTTAAAACAGAGGATTGCAAAACACAGGAAAAACACAGGAATGACCGTTTGATTGAACCACAGGAAAAACCCAGGAATTAGGTGAGAGAGATAGATTCAAAGGAAAGTTAGCAAGAGGTTCAAGGTTGAACCTCTTGCTAAATTTTCTCTAAAATCTATGTAGGATTGTCCATTCCATAGGAATTCAAAGGATTGGATAGGATTCTGACGAAGCGTGGGGCTCCTCACCGGGAGACCGCGCAGGCCCCCCTTTGCCGGTTCGGCCGGGGGCGCTAAGTGAGGTTCTTCGCCCTCGATCTGCGGAACGTCAGCGAGAGAGGAAGTGCACAACACACGGGCGACGTAGACAGGTTCGGGCCGCTGAGAAGCGTAACACCCTACTCCTGTGTTCTGGTGGATCTGTGCGTGAAGGAATACAGAGAGCCGGAGAGCGAGAGAGAGTTCAGGCTCTAGAACCCATTCGCCAGAGTCCCAACCCCCCTTCCTCTTTTCTTCTCCTCCTCTCCTAGGCCTGGGCCTCCTTTTTATCTGGTCAGGGGTCACCACATGGGCCTCCAGTTGCCTAAGAAGGGAAATATGCTTTTTACAATGAGGGCTAGTCTACAGCCGGAAGTGACCTCTGACAAGCAGAGCACACGCCTCCTGCCCCGCTCGCCCGCTTTCCCGGTGGACGCCCATTTCAACCTTCATTTAATGGCCAGCGACTTCCTTGCCATACTTGCGCTGAAGCTTGGAATGGATCTGACCGGGACTGACATACCAACTCCAGGAGTTAGCACGCCGGCTCCGGCTAGGGACGAGAGCCAGGAAGCTCTCATCATTCCGACGGGACGGGGCGAGGCGTGTGACAGGCCGCCTGTTGCCACCTAACCCGCGATCTGACCGGTCACACACCGCGACCGGTCACGGACCGGATAAGCGTGCGCTGCGCCGCATTAAATGCGGCGTGGCGCGCTCGTCCAACCTGTTATAAATGCGGTTAGGTGAGCCCCGCTGTGCTCACCTAACCCACACACGTGGCGCCAAAACCACAGGGGGTCGGGGCGCCCCAGCCCTCGGGGCCGAAACGGGGGCGCCCCAGCCCTCGGGGCCGAAACGGGAGCAGCCCGACCCCTCGGGGAGACAGAGGGAGGGGTGGCCACGTCACCCTCGGGCCCGACCCTCCCCCCGAGGGGGTCAGGCCACGTGGGTGACCGCGGCTACCCAAGCCTCTAGTCACGATACCCCCGGCCCCATGTCACCGACAGATTCAATCCTTTGTTTCAAAAGGCTTTATAGGATTGAAATCCTCTAAAATTTCTATGTTTTTCCTCCACATCAAACTAGAGTATTTATTTAAAAACAAGAAAAAAGTGAACAATCATATGGATTGGAAAAATTCCTGAGTCCAGTTCAAAGCTGAAGAATATAAAGTTACAGAGAACAATGGGTGAGGTTCAACATACAAAGTCACTTTAATCTGGTAGCAGTAATAATAAAAAGGCAAAATTTGCCACAGGACATCCAAAAAACATGTAATTAGCTAGGAGATACCGCAAGAACGTGTTTCCGCTGTAGGGCACCACAAAAAACTGGTAATTAGCTGCTAGACATTTTATTATATCCGGAAAAATTGGAGAGAGAAACAGCTGTGTAAGTATGTTTCTACCCTTTGATTTTTTTTTCTTTTTTTCTTCATTATCCTTTTCTCCCTCTCTCATTCTTTCCCGGGACGCTTACCGGCGCCGTGCGCGCCGACGACGTCGACGCCATTGCGCTGGTCGCCAATGACGGCACCGGGCGCGTGAGCTAGTCCGGCTGCCACGCGGCACCGCGCTACCGGTGACGCTCGGGGTGCTCGAGTACGAGGTGTTCCGTCAATGCCATCGCAGCGGTACCGGAGCAGGCTCCAAACATCTCTAAACATCAAAAACCCAAGCTCGCTACTTGGCGAGCTCCAAATCCACCAGTGTAACTCAAAACGACGCACAGACAGAGCAGCTAGCAACCGGAGCAAACCAAACAATGCAGCTGCGACTGCGAGCAAGAGGGGACATGACGCGGTGTAGCCGCCGCCTCCTCTGCAGCCTCTTCCGCGGCACTGTGCGGCGTCACGTCAGCCGCGGCGCCACGACTGGGACATCACCTACCAGTTCACGTCCCCGGACAGCGTCCGCAAGCTGGCCGTCACCATCAACGGCCACACGCCGAGCCGCACCATCAGCGTCGTCTAGGGGGACACTATCGTCATCAACGTCAAGAACTCGCTGCTAACGGAGAACATCACCATCCACTGGCACAGCATCCGGCAGATCAGCACGCCGTGGGCGGACGGCACGGGGGGCATCACCCAGCGACGCCATCGAGGAGTGCGCCGTCGACGCCACCACAGCCGCCGTACCGCTCAGCGTGCACGGTTGCGGCCGTTTCGATGCCTACTTCTCGCGGAGGCTGGCGAGCTGCACGCTCGACGGCGCCGACGTGGGGTTCACCACTTCACCTACGACGGCGACACGAGGAGGACATACTCACAGTGGGGCCCACATTGGATTAATTTGAGCCAAGGGCAAACTGGTCTTTAATGATTGTTTCTCTCTCCTATCCCTCTAAAAATAATAAAATAATCCCGTCGGTGTCCAGCAGCTAATTACCAGTTTTTTATGATGCCTTACAGCAAATACACGTTTTTACGATGTCCCCTAGCTAATTACATTTTTTTCGGATGTCCTGTAGCAAATTTTGCCTAAAAAAAAGAGTGCAAAAACAATAATTTATCTAGTAAGCAGGACTAGTAATTTAAATTCTAGCAGTCATAGGGATAAAAATATATTTATCTGATTATCTCCAAATGACCGATGTGGCACATAAGATTCCAGCATACAATCAGTAGCAACTTGAATAACTTTCCATTCAAATTATCAAGTTAACCATCTACTAGATACTCTCTTAAAATAGAATTCTACTATTGAAACAAAACTAACCATTAACTGAGAATAGAACAACGAAACAAAGGTCTGACCTATGGCAAGGCATCACCAGATTTCTTCTGATCATCACCTTCATTCTCTTCTGTAATATCATTGGTGTCACTATGGGACTCAACAACCTGCGCCTCCTCAACATTAACAGTTGAATCATCATTTTCACCTTCCTTCTTGCGACCAAGCACTGCCTCAATTGCTGCTCGACTAGCCCTGGCAGCAGCTTCCTCCTTGGCCTTTGCCTCGGCCTTCTTCCTCTCCTCTTCTTCTTTAGCTAAAGCCTCCGCTCTAGCCTTCTCTTCAGCTGCACGTGCAGCTGCCTCTGCTTTCTCCCTCTCAACATCCTCATACAACTTCGTCATATCCCCATCTCTCCCATCTTTCTGTAGTGCCCCTTCCAAAAGTGCCTTTAATTCATCGCTAAACACAACACTCTCATCCAAAAGAATACACTTGGCCATCTTAATTGCATCATCCAACCTCGCAGCATCAATATACGCCCTCAACAACAGCTCATAGCTACCAATATTTGGCTTGACTTCCTTTTCTGGCATCTTATCAAAAAACCCCTGTGCCTCATCAAGCCTATCAACCTTCACCAAGCCACCAATAACTTTGTTAAATGCATTGGCATTAGGTCTCAAGCCAGCAACGAACATCTTATTGAAGTAAGAAACAGAGTCATCCACCCTATCCACCTTAAAGTAGGACTCAATTAGCAAGACATAAGTGTACTCATCAGGGTTAACACCACGCTCACCCATCTCCTTGTACAATTGTTCCGCCTCCCCAACAAGTTCATTCTTCCCAAGCCAGTCAATCAGATTATTGTAGGAGAGTGCATCCGGAGCACACCTCTTCTCACCCATCTTACCAAACACCTCAATCGCATCCTGGAACCTTTCAGCCCGGCAGTATGCATCCACCATGACATTAAAGCTCCCCAGGTTCACAGCAATCCTCCTTGGTGGATCATGCTCCTCGCACATCCTATCAAACAGCTGGAGCGCATCGTCCAACTTCCCATTCCTCCCAAGGGCATCGAGCACCATGTTGTAACTCACAGCCCCAAACCTCACCTTCGAACCCTCCCCAAGCACCTCCGCGTAGCAATCCATGGCCTCTTTCTCCATACCCTTCAAGAAGTACCCCTTCATTAAGTTCCCATAAACCATCCCATCAAGAATCTGCCCACCGCCGAGCTTCTCAACAAGCTCCTCGTACAGAGAGACCACTGTGTCGCCATCCCCGGCGTTGACAAAGCCACCCATGACAAGGGCGTACACCTGGGGATCAGGGGCAACGAGGCCACGCTCCAGCATCCCATCTTTGAGCTCGATGGCCTGTTCAAGCTTCCCATTCTCAGCGAGGGAGCGGGCGAGGATGCGGTAGGTGGTGGGCGAGGGGAGGACGGGGGAGTCGTCCTTGAGGAGGAGGCGGAAGTGCTCGAGCGCGGTGTCGGGGCGGCGGCAGTCGCAGTAGGCCTGGAGGAGGAGGTTGTAGGTGGCGACGGTGGGCGCGACGGAGGCCTGCGTGACGAAGCGGTGGAGCGAGAGGAGGTCGGCGTAGCGCGCCTGGCGGAGCAGCGCGGCGAGGACGGCGTTGCAGGTGAACACCGTGGGCCTGCAGTTGGAGTAGATGGAGTGGCGGGTGAGCAGCGCGGCCTCGTCGAGGTCGTCCTCGCGGACGAGCGCGAGGATGCGGCGGTGGAGGTCGAGGCGCTTGCCGGAGAGCGCGGAGGCCGGCTCGGGGAGCTTGGGCGCGTTGGGGTTGGACGCCGGGCGCGGCGCCCCCGGGGCGCGCTGCGGCGCCGGACCGCCGCGTGCGCTGGGCGGCTCCACGCGGAGGCGGCGCTTGCGGCGGCGGCGCTCGGCGGCGGCGTCGGTCGGGGTGGCCTGGTCGGCGTCGGCCGGGGTTGGGGCCGGGGTGGGGGTTGCGGTAGCGAGGCAGAGGAGGCGGAGGTGGGGGCGGAGAGGGAGAGGGAGAGGGAGGAGGCGGGAGAGGAGCGGCTTAGAGAGCGCCATGGCGGCGACGGCGACGGATCACGGCGAGGCGATTGGGGAGAGAGGGGAGGGTTTAGCTAGGGATTTGGGGGATATTTTCCGCTGCGGGGAAATGGCGAAATGCGGGCTGGCTAGTGACTAGTTGGGCTTTGGGCTTCTTTCTGTTGAGGTCCATTATAACGCGGGCTCGGGGTGTTGGTCAGCTTGGATTTTTCGGGAGTAAAAATTATACTTTGACTCCCTTAACTATCGTCCGAGTATGATTCATAACCTCCAACTATAAAACCGGGTATATCGACTCCTTTAGCTATCAAAACCAGTGTAAACAATGTCCCTCGTTGGTTTTGGAGGTGGTTTTGACTAACGTGGCGCCCACGTGGCAGTCTTCACTGAGTCTTTTCCTACGTGGCGCTTACGTGACATTAGAATAAAAACAAAATAAAAAAATATGTGGGACCCATATGTCATTCACACAAAAAAGTGGGACCCACTAACCATGTGAGACCCACATGTCATCCTCCCTCTCTCCCTTATCTCTCTCTCACTCAGGAGCGGCGGCGGTGGCAGTGGCCGATGGGAACGAGGCGGAGGGGAGCGGTGGCAGCGGTCGGGAGCGGCGGCGGCGGCGTTGCCGGTGGCGATAGGGACGGCGGCTGGCTAGCGCGGCGGCGGGGGCGGCACGAAGGAGCGGCGACCGTGGTCGAGACGAGGCGGTGGGGACAGCGGCTGGCTAGCGTGGCAGCGGGGGCGGCACGAAGCAGCGGAGGCGGCGGTCGGGACGCAGTGGCGGGGAGCGGCGGCGGTGGGGACGAGGAGAAGGGGAGTGGAGCGGTGGTGGTGGCGGTGGCGCAAGCACGAGCACAGCGGTGGACCGGTGGTGGCGCAAACACGAGCTCCTCCTCGTAGGACGTCATGCTCCTCCTCCTCCGCTCTCCTCCGCCGCATCCTCCCTGCAAACCACCTTTTCCGCCTTCTTCTCCTCTAACCGCCGCCGCCGCTCCACACCGCCTCATCCCCACCGCCGCTCCCCACCGCCACAGCCACAGCTGCTCCCCGACCTCCGCCGCGCCGCTCCCCTCTGCCTCGTCCCCACCATCGCCGCTCCCCACCGCCACCACTCCCCACCGCCACAGCCGCCGCCGCTTCCCACCGCCGCTCCCCGATCTCCGCCTCGACCCCACCTCAATCGCCGCCGTTCACCACCGCCGCCACCACTCCCCTCCGCCTCGTCCCCACCGCCACAGCCGATTGCCCGCCGCCGCTCCCGAGAACTATAAGGGAGAGAGAGGGGGAGGAAGAAGGGAAGGAGAGGGAGGATGACAAGTGGGTCCCACACTACTTTTTTGTGTGTGAATGACGTATGGGTCCCAAATATTTTTTATTTTTGTTTTTATTCTAATGCCACGTAAGCGCCACGTGGGATAAAGACTTGGTCAAAACCGCCACGTCAGCCAAAACTACCGAGGGACATTGTTTGCACCGGTTTTGATAGATAGAGGAGTCGATATACCCGGTTTTGTAGTTGGAGGACATGAATCATACTCGGGCGATAGTTGAGGGAGTCAAAGTATACTTTTTCCTTTTTCAGGATGCAGAAATAGGGAAAAAGGGAGAAAGTAAAGGTTTATTTACAAACTTATTTATAAGAAAAATTATCATACCTAAACTTTCATATGAAAAACTATGCAATTGAAACGAACATGCACCAAATAGCAATAATGAAGAAAATGTCCATTCCAATATTTTACACCCTATACTTTGATCCCCTTGGTATGGCTTAACACAATAACTTCTCTCTTGATCTTGCTTGCTTAGAGGATCCTTCCAGTGTGGGCTAGAGTAAAAAAAAATTGTCTTTGGATAAGTCCCTCCGGTTGCATGGGTTCACGGGTCGTTTCTACAAGACTTGTTAGGAAATTTTCAAGGAGGATGTGGTGCTTGCACTCTCTGCAATTCAGTAGGATCATGTGTTCAAGTTTAAGTTGCTTAACATGACTTTTCTTAGACTGTTAATATGGCCTATTAGTCTTATACATAGTTTTGTTAAGCTAATCAGAAAGCTTATGGCAAATCGCCTAGCACCTTTGCTTCCTAGGATGATTTCGGTAAACCATAGTGCTTTTGTTAAAAAAAATATCTTGTATACTCATTCACAAATGGTGAAATGTCTACATAGGAAGAAAGAACCTTATCCTCCTCAAGTTGGATATATCTAAGGCCTTTGATTTAGTAAGTTGGGCTTTCTTGCTTGGGGTTTGGAAGAAGGTTGTGCAACTTGCTTTGTCAGATGCTCTCCACTTCTTCCATAAGGGTGTTGGTCGATGGAGAGACAGGACACACTATATTTCATCAAAGAGGCCTCTGACAAGGGGACCTTTTGTCCCTCATGCTACTCATTTTGGTCATGGTCATGCTTAATTCCCTTGTAGTTCATGCCACCCTGGAAAATCTCCTACAACCGCTCGTTGTTCAGACAGCAACTCACCAAATTTATATATGTGTTGACGATATTGTGATGTTTCTCAAACCTACAAGAGAAGATCTTTCCCTTGGCAAGCAAACTCTGGAATTCTTTTGTCATGTTTCGGGCCTCAAGACCAACATTCTAAAAGAGCTCTGTCACTCCAATTCAGGGGATTATTGTGGAGGAGCTATCTTGTGGGATAAAGGATTTTCCTTGTTCTTATCTCGGGCTCCCTCCCTTGGTGTACAAACTTACCAAGGTTGATCTTCTCCCTTTGGTGGACAATGTCGCTGATGGTCTACCGGGTTGAAAAGCCTCTCTTATGAACCGAGCGGGTCATCTCATCATGGTCCGGGTGGTTTTAACCACTATCTCTATTTATTCAATGATGGCTATGGATCTTCCCAAATGGGTAATTAAAACCCTTGAAAAAAAAAGAAGTGGTTTTCTTTGGAAGGGACATGAGAATGCCAATGGTGGCAATTGCCTCATTTCCTGGGAACGGGTTTGTCATCCAACTTCAATATGATGGTCTTGGCATACATAATCTGAAATAGCTAGGATGGGTTTTATGCATCCGATGGCTCTAGTTAAAAAATGACACCTCTTGACCTTGGGCAGCATTACCTATTCAAGTGCCACATAATGTGCACTCATTGTTTAGTGTTGCAGTGGAATCTGTAATTGGTAATGGGGAGAGCACTAAATTCTGGATAGATTGATGGGTGCAAGGAAGAACAAATGTTGAGCTAGCTCCCACCTTATTTAATTTGATCCCTCCAAGAATTAGGAGACAACGCACTGTAACACAAGCCGTGGTTGATAGGAGATGGGTGTCATATATCCATGGAGGACTCACCAAAACAGGTCCTTTTGTGAATACTTGCATATTTTGGATTCGGTTGATGATTAGCTCTTTCAACCTAGTGTGCCTGATCAAAATGGAAGTTTACAAGTTCAGCCTCCTACGCTAGTAAGTCGGCGTATGAGGCTTACTTTGTTGGATCATCAAGTTTTCACCTTGGAGACATATTTGGAAGAATTGTGCCCCCTTATGTAGCAAGTTCTTCACTTGGCTAGCAATTAACAATCGGTACTCTTTCTACCACAGTGAAACCATTCAACATATATTTAGTTCCTTGTGTCTTCTCTCGGTAGATTTCGACGTGGATTTTCTTTAAGTTAGGAATATTCTCAGTCACGCCTCAATCTTCGGCAACCCGCCTAGCAAACTGGTGGCACAAAGTATTAAGAGAGCACCTAGAGTTTGGCGGAACGGGATGGACTCCTTAATAATCCTAGAAGCTTGGGATATTTGGAAGCACCATAATGACTGTGTTTTTAATGGTGGCATCCTTAGGTCATGTTCTATAGCAAATGAGAGTAGTTATGGTGTTTAGTTGGAGCGCATGCTTTGCTGGAGCTCCTTGTGAGGTTGATAGCACGATGTGTTTTAGTTGAGGTTTGGTGGTGTTGTGTGTTGTGTTTTGGAGATGATCCTTTCGACCTCTCCCGTGTATTTGTTCCTCTTCTTCTTAATGAAATGAGGAAGTATAGTCCTCATGCAAGGAAAAAAAAGATAACACTAAAATAAAAGATCAATAATATTCAATCCTAGAGGACTTAAAAAACAATGGATGGAACATTTCCATGGATATGTGAAACTTAATATTGATGTAGCTTTTCATGCGGACGAATAATCAAGCGTAGCCGCTATTTTACTATGTGATGAAGCATACCAATTTCTTAGTTGCCATGTGTTCTTATACCACATACGTCCCTTCAACTGCGATGGTAGAGGTAATGCGGCTAATGCCAATGTTGGTTGGTCTTTATTTGGCTGTAAACTTGGGATGTAGCAAATCCAAGCGAAATCTGATTGTACGGAAGTAGTGAATGTATGTTGTCGATATGACTCCTCGTTTGGCATTGCAAGGGCAATTTATATAGACTAATGCTATCCTCAAAATTGAGAAAGATGAATTCTCGCATTGTCCAAGGTATAATAAGGTAGCGCACTGTTTAAGATAGGTAATAAGGTAGCTCATAACTTAGCTTGGTACGTTTTTGATAATATATTTTCTTGTAATTGAGTCGATGAATCCCAAGCTTCATTTTCAACAAACTATTGGACACTGTAAGTATTGTGTGATATTAATGATCAAATTTTTCAATCTTATATTAATGGTCAATTTTGGAAGGCCTTAAGAAAACAATATTTTTCCCCATGTTGTAAAGACCATTTATCCTTAGCCATAAATACCCTAAAATCAACTTTAATTTCAAATTTTAACCGCGGCAGATACATTATGACGCAAATGATGAGGCCCTAACAATTACATGCATTGAACAGAAATACATTTGAAGTGGTTAGACCAAATCAGTCTGAAAATCAACAATGAAATTCTCAACAGGACAATGTTCACTATCGCCACGGCTATATTTTAAAACTAGATTCGATGTTTTCTCATCATAGTTTATCTATCAACATCGACTTTTTATGAAAATTTTAAGGCTATTAGAATTAATGAAATTAAACTGTTAAAGATCGAAGCTTTTGAACATCTTTTCACTACGGAAGACCGTAGATATGGAACATTGTTTTCTAAAAGTACCATTGTTGTCCCCTTCAAAAGTTTTTAACTTGTTTGTAAGATACATGGCAGATGCAT